GGTTGGAGTACAGCTCAATGATAAAGTATATGGTTAGCATGTACTAAAGTTTAATAGCTTAGGACCACCCCCCACCCAAGAAAAAAATTTTCTCACCAAAAAGAAAAGAGAAAGAAAGCAAAGCCAGAACCCATTCTTCCAACCTTTCACAACCAGGACAATTGCTTGAGCAATATAGCACACTGGAGTCATTTAGAAACTAGGTGGGAAATGCCAGCTCTGCAACTTAAATGACATATTGGGTCCTGTTCTGGAAATTGTAGAAGAGCTGGCAAAACCCATGTTGTAGCCGGTGTTAGAGAGACTTTCCATTGTCATTGGCTTTCTGGTCCCTGATGGAAGGTTATCAGATATTTAAACTTTTGAAGGCACTTTCTTGTAACAGGGAACTAACTGGGCACTCTCCTGTCCACCATTTCTAGACTCTGAAGATTCAACCAAAGGAGTTTCCATTCATGCTCTCTGAGGGTGTCACAGAGAGCCAAAGAAGTAAATCAGATAAAGTACCCCCCCCATACACATAGTCTGTATGGAATATGTTCCCAGACCTCCAATGTATGTCTAAAATTGCAGTGTCAGACTCCAGAAAAATACATGATTTTCCTAGATTCAGATGCCTCTAAAACTAGGTACACTAAAAGATCAATAATGTGAGCTATCTCCAAATAGAACTATCTCCAAAATACACTGTAATAAAAATTATGTGAATATATTCTCTCCCTTATTTCTGGAATTTTCTTCCAAATAGAGAATTTTTGGACCACGGAAAGCAAAGTCTCAGATGACGGGGACTACTGCTTTCTGAGAAGGGAGAGACTCTGCTAGCAAGACTGGCCAATAAGAGGCCAGACAGCTCAGTTATCAGGGTGCTTGCAGCAGAAGCATGAGGACTTGATTTGATCCCCAGCACCCATATAAAAGAGGTGCTGTGTAATTGGAGCCTGCATGGCCAAAAAAGCAGCTGGAGGAGCTCTGGCTTGCTGACCAGCCAGCCAGTCCAGCCAGGTCTGCAGACACCAGGTTCAGTGAGAGACCCTTCTCAAAACGTAAGGTAGAGAGTGACTGAGAAAGACGCCTGATGTCAACCTGTACCCTCCACGCGCATGCTTGCACACATGCAGACACACACACACACACACACAAAGTGGCAACAAATAAAACCTGTTAATGTTGTGTGCATGTGACATGGGGCTTGTGCCTTTGTGACTTACCAGAAAGACTAGAAATTGACAAGGTCTTTTTGGAAAGAGATTAGAATTTTCAAAGTTTAAAATACATCTACTTTTTCCTTCAATCCCCTTTTAGTTATTAAATATAGATGTGTGCTTTCTCACTTTCTCATGCACACACGTACGCATGCACGCACGCACGCACGCACACCTGTATTATGGGGCTAACAAGACGATGCAGTAAGTCACTTCTCCAGTAAACCCGAGTTCAATCCCTCGACCCCATGCAAAGGTGGAAAGAGACAGCCACCTCCACAAAGTTGTTTCTGGTGTCCGCACATACTGTGGCACACGCACACCCATACACACACACAATAATGGTAAAATACATATGTCAGTTACTAAAGCCATTCCACAATGCACATATATATCTTAAAACACAACACTCTATGTTATAAACGCATATAATACTTTTATCAACTGAAAAATAAAATGTTGTCTGGCGTGGAGGCGTACACCTTTAATGCCAGGTCTTGGGAGGCAGAGAAAGGCAGATCTTTGTCAGTTCGAGGCCAGCCTGCTCTACAGAGTGAGTTCCAGGACAGCCAGGGTTATACAGAGAAACCCTGTCTCAAAAAAAAAAAAAAAGAGAGAGAGAGAGAGAGAGAGAGGAAGGAAGGAAGAGAGAGAGAGCGAGAGAGAGAGAGAGAAAGGAAGGAAGAAAGAGAGAAAGAGAGAGAGGAAGAGAGAGAGAGAGAGAGAGATGGAGAGAGAGAGGGAAGGAAGGAAGAAAAGAAAATGGTGATGCCAGTGAGACGGCTCGGCAGGTAAAGCACCTGCTGCTAAGCCTGATGACCTAAATTCAATCCCTAAAACAAACACCTAAAAATTGTCCTCTGACCTCTACAGGTACACACAAAAAACCTCCCGCAAACAAATGTAAAAAGAATTTCAAATTAAATATACAATATCCCTTCTTTTTTATTAATTAATTAATCTATTTATTTTATATAACCAAGTCCATTTAAATGAAAACAAACATTTATAGACAATATTTGGGGATCTGGGCGTCGTGCTTTCCAAACCACTTCCTTCTGGTAAGGGGCGCTGTCATGGGGGATTCTAAGAAGATGCAGAAATCCTGGCTGTAGTCTGTAGCTGGGAAGCCAGCATGGGACTGACTCAGGCCCCCCTGAATATGGGTCTCAGCCAGAAGGACTGAGCAGTCTAAGGGACCTCAGACAGTGGAGCCAGGATGTATCCCTTGTGCACAAAAGGACCTTGCGAACACATCCCCCATGGAGGGATAACTGCCTTAATCTAGAGACAGGAGAGAAGCCCTAGTCCCTACTTCACAGGACCTGTCAGACCTACATGACCCCAACTGGATGGCATTCCCCTACATATGGAATTGGGGTGGGGGGATGGGAGGGGAGGGTGGTTAGAGTGCATGTGAGAGGGCAGAGAGGGTAAAAAGGGAGGGAAGGAGGGAGGGAGGGAGGGAGGGAGGGAGGGAGGGAGGGAGGGAGAGGGAACTGTAATCGACATGTAAAATAATAAATTAAATTAAAAAAATGCTTTGACTCCAAAATTTAAGTTCAAGGACAAGTTACTGGGGAAAAGGATTTCTATTTTTGTTTCCACAAAAAATGAAAAGCTGTGGATTCCTTCCAGACTAATGTGGTTTGATCAAGCCAGACCGCCTGAAACAGAGTACCAGGTGATCCTACATTCAAAACAGCTGGACAATATCCCTTCTTTACAGAATTAATGTTAGTATTTTGGGCCAGGCTGTAATCCCAGCACTTGCTAGGTAAATGCAGGTGAATGATCAGGAGTCAGGGACAGCCTGGATTATACAGCAAGTCTGAGGCCAGCCTGGGCTACATGAAACTGTATCACAAAATAATAACAATAGTAATGTCTTCCTTTAGTGGACTTCGGAGCAACTACCTCACAGAGAGGGTATTACGTTACATTGATTCTGAACACACAAGTTCTTCAATTATCCATTCCTTGGAGAAACTTGAAGGAAATTTAGATGAAAGAAGGAGAACCCTGTATGCCTTTCCTGCAGTCAAGGGAGGCAGAGGGGGCTTCAGAGACAATGCCTGGGGCTGGAATTCACTTGCCTCTCTGGCCTCAATTCAAGAGGTGCTGCTTCGGATGGCATGCAGCGATGCGCAAAAACACAAAGTCCTGGTCCGCAGTGAACATGCTGAGAAAGGAGACTGGGAGTAAACAAGTTCGACTCTCATACGTGCAAAGAAGGATGCACACACTGGGAGCCAGGAAAAGGGTGAAGATAATCTCTTAAGAAGTGACATATGAGTGTGTCATAGGACAAAGGGCAGATGGGAACACTGTAAACAGAAGAGGGGTGCAAAGGTTCTGAGCAGGAAGAAATATGCTGGAAGGGACTCTGTGAGTTCTGCTTAGTGAGCATAGCCAGAGGATTGGGTGTGGTGTAGAGAGCTGGGCAGGGGCTAGAGCATGCAGGACTGATGGACAAGGCCAGGAAGGGTTCTGGGTGACAGTCTAGATCAATAGGAAGCCACTGATGGGGTTTCATCAGATGGGTGACATGAGCTGCTATTGAGAACAGTGGAGACATGTGGGGACAAGACGGAGCAGTGGTTTTGGGAAGTCCTGATGGGGTGTGAACTACAGTGCCCAAAGCAGAGATGGACAGAGGCAGATTGTGCTGGGCTCTAGAAGCAGAACTCACAAAACTGCTGATGCTATCAATGTGAAAATGAGGAAAGAGAGGAGTGTTCTTTCCGTGATATTATTTGGTAAGAGGAATTCTGGGGCAGAGGACTGAGAGGAATCAAGAGCTGCATTTTAAAATGCCTACACACTCAACAAGTAGGAAAAGCAAGGAAGTGGCTGGACACAGGAGCTGGAGGCTCAGTAGAGAGGGTAGGGCCCAAGATGTAAAGTTCCAGGCTGTCATCCCACAGATGGCATTGAAGCTAGCCAAGGAACTCAGCCAGGAGGGTGTGTCTCGGAGGGAAAAGAAGCTGGGCCAGCTCTGAGCTGGGCACCCGATGTTCAGAACTGGCCCAGCAACAAAGAAGATGCAATGAAAAGGGGAAGAAAGCCAGGATCATGTGCTTTTTAAAAAGTCTACCGCTGGGATCTCAAGCCTAGAACTGCCTTAGGCACACAGCAGATCCTGAACATTTGCTGAATGCATGAGGAGGGAAGAAGGGATGGAGTGTGGCCACATTGTCAGATGAAGCTCAAAGAGGCAATCAGAGGGGCAATAGAGGAGCCACTGGTTTTAGCAGCACAGGAAGCTTCAGTAGCATTGCTGACAGGAGCCAGCCCAAGAACAGGAACAAAGCCAAGACATTCTGGTTTGGATAGAGATCAAGATGGCCATGGAATGTCAATTCACCAGCAATCCCACAGTGACTCACAAACTTCCTGCCACAGTGCCCCGTGAGCGATACACTCTCTTGGCATCCAACCTCAATTAGGTCTTTACTTAAGTGTTTCCATAGGGGTAATTCCTGCCAGGCAGGCAAGGCCACAGTGCTACGGAGATGCAAGCAGGGCTCTGGCTGCCTGGGCTAGATCTGGCCAGGTAGGCAACTGTATGTACATCCTGCCTCCCTTCCAATACACCCGTTCCTCTATTGCTCCCACATCCATTTCTGAGCTTCTTGATTGGTTGTCCACTGTTGGGTTGTGGCAAACATCATCAAAGTTTCACCACCTTCTGCTGTTGGTGTGTGGGTGGGGGCTGGGGGAGATGAGTGAATAAACACATGTATGTATGTATGTATGTATGTATGTATGTATGAGCATAATGCTCAGACTTACCAGGTACGGTGAGGACAGATGGGGACCTTTCCGGTTTCTCATTCACACGGCTGCTATTTTGAACCCAGAAGATGTTGACGGGCTCAGGAGGGCCCACAGCCTGGCAGGTGAGGTTGAAGGCTGTGTTTCTGGTGACATTCATACTCTCAGGTTGCTTAATAAAGTATGGAAGTCCTGCAGAGAAAGATTGGAGCAGAGTCTGTCTTAACCAAAAGCAGCACCTTTGAAGACAGCCATCGGAGGGTTCCTTGGGTCTGAAATAGCCAATTATCACCTCCAAGCAGAGGAAGGAAAAGCAAAGGGGTTCTTGACTACCAGTCTTCCCCAGTCAGCTTTCTAGGACACTTTTTCTAGGGAACGTGTGCAGTGATTCATCTGCTTTGGCCAGAAGGGAATGCACAGCCAGCTTTTAAATCAGGTGTTGCTCAAGGGCCTGGCACTGGTTGGCAGGTTGGCAGTATTCCTCATCAAAACAAACAGAGCGAGGCAGGAAAGATGGCTAGTACTTAAGAGCACTTGTTGCTCTTCCAGAGGAGCCAAGTTCATCCCAGGACCCACATCAGCCAGCTTGCTACTATAACTACAGCACAAGAGGATCCAGCATCATCTTCTGGCCTCCAAGATCCACTCCATCCCACATACACAAGCACACATTCACATAAACACACACATATTAAAGAAATCTAAAAAATACCAAAGTGAGAACAAACCTGCACAAAAGATCTGCCCAGTTTTGGGGAAATCTGCAGTGTGTGTGACTTCCAGATGGGTGAAGATGGATTTTAAAACCTGTGCACTTGAGACTCTTGGAGTCTATGTGGTTCAGCTGTAAGGCATGAGCTCAGTATGCATACGGCCCTGGGTTCAATGCTCTAAGCCCTGCGAGTGAGCATGCACACACACACACACACACACACACACACACACACACACACACACACCTCTTCATGTATTTGTGTAAAACTGAAGAGTTTTCAAGATGCACCCACTTGGAGACATAATGAGCACAGTTTTATAGTTATAATCCTAAAATCTTCTGAAACGCCAAAATCTGGCCCACTAGGGAGCCTGGAATTTTTCAGAGAAAGCCAACGGTTACTGGTTTGGACCATGTACCCACCGTTTTAACAGGGCAAGCTGGCTAGCCTCAACACTTAAATCACGGGTTTTATAAACTCATGTCTCACAAATCTGGTTCCACATAGAATAATAGGATTCTTTTTTTCTCCCATTCAAAGCTTTCAAGATTCAGACTTTTCCCAACTTGTGCATTTTTCCTGGGATCCTGACAAGTAAATTGCCTTCGATATTGTAATTTACAAGATTAATACCAAATGTAGGAGATGCCCTCCTGTGGACTGGTGCCCACACAGCTCAGGCATCAGTTGTCCAGCCTGAGAAAGCCAATGTGTCTATGAGATTCATCTGAGGGGCTTTTTCTTGACTCTTCCTCTCCACACTCACCCATTCACTGACTCCCTCCTTTGTCCCTTTCTCCTTCCTCTCTCAAGCTTTCTGTGGTGTTACTGGGCATCAAGTTCATGTTCACAAGAGAATGGGCACCAGAAGAGCCTCTTAGTGGGAGCAGGATGTAGAAGGTAGAGCAGAGAAAAAAGAAAAGAAAGAAAAGAGAGGGGATGAGATGGGGTACCTCAGGGGTGGAGAGCAACACTGGGGTTAGAGCATGTGCTTAACACGTACAATGCCCTGGGCATACACATGCACACACACACACACACACACACACACACACACACACACACACACACCGAAAAGAACTGAATCACTTACATCATTGTCTAGTTTCTAAAAGGAGGATATACTTGTAAAATTCCAACACCAATAGATCCATAATGTTTACAGCGTTATAAACAGGCAGGCCACATCCTGCAAGTCACACAGGAAACACTTAATGCAGGCTTTAACCAGCACCTGTGCAGCAGGGTATTCTGGCTTCAGGCTCACCTTGAACTTCGACGTATATGGGATCAGATACGATCTCTTTGTCATTCACCTTCATCTTACAGATATATGACCCATTGTCGGAGCGCTGCACACTGGTTATGCTTCAAAGAAAAACAAAAAGAAATTTGCAGCAACTATCTTTTGACTCCCTGTTACATAAACAGAAAATTCTTCAACACACTTACCTTGTGCTAAGATGGTTAATGTGTCAACATGGCTAGGTCATGGTGCTTAGTTATCTAGATGCTTCTATAAGGATATTTTTCAGATGCCATAGACATTTAACTTGGCAACATTTCAGTAAAACAGATTATCCATCCCAACATGCACCTATCTTATCAGTTGCAGACTGAAGTCCCTTGAGAAAGCTCAGTGTCAATTTTCCATGGGTCTCTAACCAACACTCTGCTGGCTTCAGACTTGTTAGTGCTTATTACAGTGTGAATTCATTGAAACTCTCTTTTCTCTGTCTTTTTTCCCTTCTCCTGGGATGGTCAGGCAGGCACTGGTGTATAGAAATTTGTCTTGGTTTGTTATCAGTCATCTTAGCTTTGCTTTGCTTCTGTTCTATCTGGAACAGGAAATATCTGATCCATCTGCCTGTGACTCCAGCACTCAGGAGGTTGAGACAGAAAGATTATGAGTTTGAGGTCAGCCTGGACTACTCTTCAAGACCTTTTCACAAAGCAAAGCAAAGCAAAACAAAAACAAAAACAAAACAGCATCTTTGACTACTACTGTCTTCTTTCTACCTTTGCAATGTGTTTACAAACATAAAGATGTACAACATACATAAAAGAAAGCTGCATTGGAGGTAGGCAAAAATGGTTCAGAAGGTAAAAGTGTTTGCTGACAAGCCCAAGGACCTGAGTTCGACACCCAGGACCCATATTTTGGAATGAGAGATCTGACTCCTGAAAAGTTTCTTTGAAGCAGCTTGCAAAATAATATTCAACTTGCATATTCAAGATCTGACGCTAAAGGCTTCACAAAGACCAGGAAGCTGTGAGAGGAGGAGGGGCTCCATGCTGGCCTAAGCCCAAATAACAGTTCAGCCACATACGTAGACTGTAGAAATCAGACTGAGAAGATGTCCTGAAGTACTCTGACTCAACAGGCCAGGAAGATCTAGCCTACAAACAAGAAAGGGACACTCAAAATACAAGCCATGACCCCAAATTCACCTTCAGCCACTCATGTCAGGAAGAAGGTAGCAATCTGTACCTGGATAGCATCTAGACCATCTACCTGTTCCTGTAAGACCTAACTTAGACATCCATATCAAGGCTCCTAGGGTTTGGGGTAGGACCAGGCAGAGGAGTGGCTATTCCCAATACTCTCTCCTCCCAGCTAAGTCAGGGAGCTGGGGCTCCATGGAAGCAATACCAGAAAGACTGAGCTCAAAATTACAAACTGGACAACTAAAGGGAGTTGAAGAAAGGACAGAGAAAGAGGAAGATGAAAGAATTTAATTGTCCCAGAACTGTATTGCAGGCCTGTCATAACTAGAACCCTGAATGGGCAGCCCAGAGAGAGAAAGGAGACATACCAAGGGACTTCAGCCAAAATGCTATATCTTTAAGTCATGATCATGAAGGTTCCAGAGGGAAGGGGAGGCAACCTGTGGTGACCTGGGTCCCTACCACACTGAGGAGGAGCAACCAGGAGATGTGTCCCAAGACTTCAAAACCACAAGGGATTATTTTCTTTTTTGATTCTCTATCTATAATAAAGCATCCGAGGTCAGGGTGGGGGAAAGGTCTTTTCAGGCACGGGGTCTCAGAGGTTAACAGAGGAAGTGCTGCATGGCAAAGTGAGGGAGGAAACCCACATGAGAGGGAGACCTGGGCCCCAGAAGTAGATGTGCAGGAAGAAGAGAGGTCCCCAGAAAGCCAGTAAAGGTGGGAAGTGAAGCAGCAAGACCCAGACCCGAGGGCAACCTGTCCAGACTGAGATGGGAACCAGACAGGAATCTCGGAGGCAGTGGGGAGAGGGCACAGTCCCGACAGCTTTATGACCACGAGAGGAGGTAAGATAGGGCTTTCTTTCAGAGTTGAAGGAAAAATGAATAGGTAAGATTTTGAAAATTAATCAAGCTAGCATTAAAAAAAATTATGGGAAATAACGAAGTAAATTACACTCGCAGCACAGTACATGATTCAGCTAGCTAGAAACACAACTTCCATACCCACACACAAAAACTATGAAGCCTGGGTATTGATTTTTGCTACTGCCACAAATAAATACATCATTGGCAGGCACACCATCGTGGGGATGAGCACACATGCAAAGTGCACAGGATTGCATATGGACTGAAGAGCTCTAGAAAGATGCCCAAGGGCTCAGCTCCCAATGATGAGGGGATAAGGGCAGGCAGGGATAGAGGAGGAATGTTTTATACACGTGGAATGCATTGCTTCATTTTTTCTACCGTTTTTATGTATTTATTTTGTATCCAAGTATATGTGTGGTGTGCACGCGCGCGCATGTGTGTGTGTGTGTGTGTGTGTGTGTGTGTGTACGCATGCGTGTGTGCCACCCTACTCTTTTCTGTAGTAAACTTAATGAAGCCATATAAAACAAGATCAGCTACCTACAAAATATTTCATACATGCTAATGAATATATATAAAATTATGTACAGTTTACTGTATTATAATGTAGCTTTACTAGTCTTACTTTTTCTCACTATGGCTTAGTGTATTTGCTATTTAGGTCTACCTAGCACATATTTTGTTACTATTATTCCTAGTACTATGTATTATTTGACATAATATATTTTAAGTTTTTAAATTTATAATTGTTCATGGCTGCTTAAAAAAAAAAATAGTATGGGGCTGGTCAGATGTAACCCTGTTAGAGAACACAGTGCAGCAAAACCCCAGACCCTGGGTTCTGGCTCTAGCCCGGCTTTCCACCCAAGGTGTGAAAACCCCATCAACTTTTGAAATAGAAACATCTGGACCAAAGAGGCAGAAACAAATGACACAGACTGAGCCATAGTGTCTAGACAGGAACCACCTGGCCACAGCTGTAGAGCTGGCATTGGGGAAGCCCATGCCCCAGGGCAGTGGTGGCTGGGCTGGCCCCAGGATACTCTACAAGTTTTCAGTCTCTCTATCCCTCAGTATGCCAAAGCTCAGCTGGCATACAGGGAGATGTCTCACGAGTAGCAGTAAAACTCTCAAGTTTTCAAAGAAACACAAAAGGGCAAATGTACTCTAAGATGCTTGGAGCATCTCATTTATGCAGAATCTTATAGACAGAGAAGGGAGAATACATGTTACTAAAGGGGTGGGGCACGTATCATGGCGGCGCAGGTAAACAGGGTCACGTGGTCATGTGAATGTGCTTATTACCATTGCTCTTCACACACACAAAGGGCTTACATTACATGCAGTTTACCAAATAAAAAAGCAATAAGCAAATACAATTAATAAGTGGATGCAAAGACCCACTGACAAGCTTCTTGCTTTCACCTGGTGCTGGGAGGCCCTAATGGATAAACAAATGAAGGAGATTCTGAGCCTAGAGTTTTGTGACCCTCAGGTCCTGTGGTTAATAATTTTGCCCACGGTGGTTTGGCTAAAGGAACTGTGTTCTTATTTTCTGGATTCTGCTCATATTTGCCTCCGTTTCCCTTTCCTTTCCTTCTTCTGACAAAGCTTTGCTATGTGGACAGGGCAGACCTCCTACTTGAGAGCCCCCTGCCTCGGCCTTTAAACTGTATTGATTACAGGCATGATGTGCTGTGTGACCCCCCCCACATCCTCTCTTTTTAAAGTATCATCATCATCATCACTATTACGTGTATGGGTGTCTTGCCAACATGTATGCCTGTGTCTAATGTGCATGTCTGGTGTCCATGGAGGCCAGCCGATCCCTTGGAACTGGAGTAACATGGTTGTAAGGCCACCATGTAGGTGCTGGGAGCTGAACTTCGGCCAAGTGCTCTTAACTGCTGAGCCGTCTCTCCAGTCCCTCGATTACATTTTAATTGCCACCAAGAGCAGTGAGATAAAGCAGTGACAATAGAAACTGGAGCCAGGAGAGACAAGTGTAGCTAAGTTTAGCTCACAGAGTCCATGAGACTCATCCCAACACAGCAGGGACCTGTTCAGAGATAGAGGCCAGGATCTCTCTCAATAAACAGATTAGGCTGGGTGGCTAGCAGCAAACCCCAGGCATCTGCTTATTTCTGCCTCCCTAGCATGGGAATTTTAAGTGCATACCACATTCAGCTTTCTAAAATGTGTGTCCTTGGCACCAAAATCAGGTCCTTACGCTGAGCACTTTACCTACGGAGCCATCTCCCAGGCCTAAATGACCATTTTAAAAATCACATCCTTAGGGCTGGCATCATGTGGTCCAAGCCCATCCCTATGGAAACAAAGTCAGGGAGTTGTGGCTGCTGGCCCACAGTCACATAGATGACTGTAACAACAGCAGAGGTGTGCTCTCTTCAAGCAACATCTGACCTATGTGACTCATTAAACACCCCACTATGTACTTATTAAATGTTTCCCTTATCTCTTTGTAAGCTTTGTTTATGTAAAACGTCTGATTTCTGTAGAAAAAAAATTCTGCAGAAAAAAAAATTGAGTCAGATATTGTGTGTGACCACTGTACGAGAACAGCTTGATAAGATGAACCAAGAGGCTCATGGGAGTCTCTTCTTTGCCCTGAAGCAAAGCATAGCTGGTGGGAAAAGTGACAAATTCTGGCTGTGGCCATCAGGTCTGTAGGAACTATGCAGTGGCTTTCTGAAAAGGAAACAAAAATGATTCACCTAAAGGCATGACACATACGGGACTGTGCCAAATGTCAGGTCAGAGAAAGTGAAAACATCACAGATCAAAGAGAGCTCCACTCCAGAATGGGGGGCTGGAGGCTCAGGAAAAAAGGTCTTTCTCTGACTCTGAGTGGTCTGCACCTCATTTTGAGCTTTGGGGAACAACAGGCCAAGTCAGTTCAATTGACAAAAACCCCTCAGGTTAACACAGGCAATCGGGAGGTAGAACTTTGATTATTGGGGTGGGGGAAGGGTGGGGAAAAGAGACGCTGGGCGCAGAAACCAAAGTTTGACTAAAGGAATAGACCCAAATGTACTCCCGCGGGCCACTCAAACTCCACAGTACAGTGGGGTAGTTGCCATTTGCAATAACCTGTTATATATTTTATGAAGCTCTGGAAGAGATGAGCTCTAAACAATGAGGAGGAGGAGGAAATGCTAATACCCTGAGTCTATCAGTGCACAGTGTACATACCACGAGTCCCTCATTAATATGCATGACTAATACATGCTAATAAAGACAAAAACCAGGAAACAAGCAAGGAGGAAGAGCAAAATCTGTAAGAGCAAAGTTTCAGCGTCTACAACCTCTGAAATAGGATGGCTCGACTTCTGGGAGAACAGAATATTCCAGATACATGTCCTGCCTTGGCTGATCACAGCTACCACTAACTCATCAACCTTATCTTTGCAAAATGGAGGGAATATTTCAAAGTGTGGCTGCCATCAGAAAGGCTTCCTCTAGCAGCTAATGAGAGCAGATGCAGAGACCTACACCAAAACATCAGGCAGAGCTTGGAGAATCTCGGAGAGGAGGAAGGACTGTAGGAGCCAGAGGGGTGGAGGACACCAAGAGAACATGGTCCAGAATCAACTAAGCAGGGCCACTAGGGGCTCACAGAGACTGAAGTGGCCATCAGAGTCTGCATGGGGTCTGCGCTAGCTCCTCTGTATACATGCTGTGGTTGTTTAGCTTGCGGTTTTTGTGGGATTCCTAACAGTGGGAGAGAGGGTGTCTCTGATTCTTTTGCTGGCTCTCGGGACCCTTTTCCTCCACTGGGTTGCCTCATCCAGCCTTGATATGAGAGTTTGTGCCTGGTCTTATTGCATCTTGTTATGCCACGTTTGGTTGATAGCCCTGGGAGGCCTGATCTTTTCTGAAGGGAAATGGAGGAGTGGCGGATCTAAGGGAGAGGGGAGGCACATGGCGGGAGGGGGAGGTCACGACACTGGGAAAAGTGGAGGGAGGAGAGGCTGTGGTTGGGAGGAACTGTACGAAAGAAAAATGAATTTAAAAAGAAAGATAGAAAGAAAGAGAAAGTATGGCTGAGACCCTGTGTCATTCCCTAGAACTTTCCTTCTACTTCTCTGGGTGCACACCAAACTGGCACCACAACTGGAAGCAGCAGAAAGAAAGCAGGAGATGGGGAGAGAGGGCAGGTGACACGAGTGAATCTTTAAAATGCTATAACCACGGATAACATTGGCACTGCCGCGTGCGCGCCTGCGTGTGTGCGCGCGCGCGCGCGCGCGCGCGCTAGAGTCTGCAATTAACAAGTAGGCTAAGCTGGTTTGGTCAGTCCTTTGCCTCCCCAGAACTGGAATCATCCATACACACAGACAAATACACACACACACACACACACACACACACACACACACACATTAAAATAAACGATTTTATAAACAAACAAGCAAAAGGCACTAACCACTTTCCCAATCCAGCTCTGTAACCTGTAACCTTAGCATGTGGGTGGATCGGGACGTAGTAAGTCTGAAATCAGCCTGGACTACATGAGAGCCTGTCTCCAAAAAAGGCCCACTTTCTCTTGGAGTGGGGTATATAGCTCAGAGGTACAATCAGTATGCTTAGCATGTTCAAGGCTCGGGGTTCTATACCTAGAACTGAAAATGAACACACACACTTACACTCTCACACACAAACATACACAAATACACCCCCCTCCATACACAGTTTCCCACTCCCTGGTAGCTCTTGGATCTAAGGTGTACTTAGTACCTACCTTAGATGAGCTGGGCATGGCCCTCTAAGCCCTCAGAGTGTGTTTTAGCCATCAGTTACCATTCACCAAGCTCATTTAAAAGAAATCAACAACACAGTCAGGTCAGTATTTATCCACACTCTAAAAGGGGTCAAAACTTCTTAAAAAGAAAACAAGGCTGACTTTTACTTGAGGGTTCTACTTTTGGGGTGGCATTAGCATAATGACATTTAGGAAGAAAGGACACATACCTGAACAATGCAATTATTGACACCCCTTCCTCATCAGGATAAAACTGTGTGATTGAATGATGTGCCCCAAGCAATTCCTTTCCATCTTTCCACCATGAAATGCCAGCTGTTTCTTGGTACGTGTTAGGAATATTGATAGAGCAATTAAATTTGACATTTTTATGTTCTGAAAGTATTATGTGTCCGATTGTGTGATTAAATGCAACGGGAGGTAGGAGCTTTGATGCTGCAGAGGTCATCTGGGGAACAGCTGTGTGTGCTGGAAGTGATCTTCCAGTCTGGGATGGTGATAGCCGGTCAGCTGGGTTGGTTTCTTCTGCCATTTCAGCAGTGGCTGCAAAACAAAATATTGAGTGTTAGCCATTAAAACGATGGAGAATTTCAACTTCCTAGGCAAAGCAGAACATCCTCAGTGGGCCCAAAACAGATGAACAAGAAGTTGAGTGTAAGGGCACACCCTTGTCATCCAAGCACTTGTGAGGTCGAGGCAGGAAGGTCGAGAGCGCAAGGCCAATCTGAGTTACACAGGGAAAGTGTCACAAAAGAACCAAGAGCTGGGCTGTAACTCAGTGGAAGAACACCTGCCTAACATGCACAGGTTCCCTAGTTGAATCCCTCGCACCTCAACAGAAGACAAAAGATGGGGAGAACCTTATGTGCACATCCGACAACATCCCCATTTACCAACTTGTGCGTCTGCCTACTTGCCTCCTTCTAAAGAGTACTTAAGGAAAAAGATTCCTGGGCTGGTGGGATGGCTCAGCGGGTAAAGGTGCTTGCTGCTAAGACTGTCAACCTGAGTTCCATCCCCAGAACCCACACAGTGGAAGAACTTCCACCTGTATATAGCAGAGTGTGCGTCCCCTCCCATATACACACACAAATATATAACTTTTTAAAAAATAAAGTTCTTCTAACAATTCTCTTCCAATGTTGACTCAAGTTGTCCTTGGACCTTCACATATACACACGAAATAAATGTAATTTAAATAGTAAACAAAACAAACAAAAAACCTCAAGTCAGATTAGTGGTGCACACCTTTAATCCCAGCACTCAGGAGCGAGAGGCAGGTAGATTGATGTGAATTTGAGGACAGTCTGATCTATGTGGCCAGTGCCAGGCTACTTGGCGAGACTCTGTCTTGAAAGAAAAAGAGAAACGGGGGGGGGGGTCAGAGAGGAGGAAAAAGGGAAGAGAAGATGAGAGAAAGGGGAGGAAGAGAGGAAGGTAGAACACGGGATATTATGGTGGCTTGAATGATAATGACCCTCATAGGCTCATCTATTTGACTATGTGATGCCCAGTTGGTGGACAGTTTGGAAAGGATAAGGAGCTGCGACCCTGTGGGAGAAGGTATGTTATGGGAATGGGCTCGACCGTCTGCTTGTAAATCCAGCTCTCAGCTACTGCTCCAGCTCCATGCCTGCCTGCCTGCCTGCTGCCAGGCTTTTCATCCTTTTGGTTGTAGAATCACCCTCTGAGCTTTAAGCCTCAAACAAACTCTTTCTTCTATAAGTGCCTTGGTCATGGTGTCTTATAGCATCAATAGGAAAGTAAGACAAACACCCAGTTAAGCTTGAACTTTACAAATAACATCTCATATTAAATATCCAGCCAGAACACACCCATTGGATATCCTATACTAATGGTCAGCTCTGAAAATATACAGAGAGTAACATTATACAAACTGAGCAGGTTGCATTTATATATTCAGGAACACACACACACACACAACAATTAAAGAAGAGTTTACGATTTTGAAAGAGAGCAAGGAGGGGTAAAGCAAGGGTTTTAGAGGAAGAAAAGGGAAGATGGAAATAGTGTGATTACATTATAATCTCAAAAATTAAAGAAATAACTCTTAAAAATATGGTCAAAATATAAGTATGAAAAAATTAATTAAAAGGAAAAACACCCCCCCCCCACACACACACACACACTCAGAGGAAGACATTTAAGATGCTGAGACATGTCACATGAAGTTGTATAGAACTGATATAGAAGAAACTTAAAATTATAGAATTGGTATTAGAAAGAATTACCAATAGATTTGCTTAGGAGACATTAAGTCACACAAGTGGAATTTAACTGCCTAATGGAGTGCTGCCTTCAAAATATTCCAAAATACTCCAAGATAACTAACAGGCTAACCAAGCTGTCAGAGATAAGTGAAATCCAGGATGCTAGGATGTAAATATTTACTCATCAGGACTGACTAACCATCACGCTCTGATTCTCAGGACAAGAGAGACAACATTGATTTACCCCCCATGACTGGATCTAGAGGCCTGGCTGCTGATAAGCCTCTGAGGCCATTAACAGCTACAGAACTATGGTGGGAGCTCCATGCCTACACCCTGCTCAGTTGTGCATTGCATTCACTTGGCCTCAGAGGCTTATCAGCAGCCAGGCCTCTAGATCCAGTAATGGGAGTAGACCAATCTGCCTAGCGCTGGGAGGTACCGATCTTGAACATTGTCCTGCAAGGCAGTCAGTGGGAGGTGGGGGAAGCATGGCAGACAAAAACCTGCCCTGTAGGGATGGTGAGCAGTGTGGTACTGAGCCTCTCAGGGACTCTCAAACTGAGCTCCAAGGAAAGAAAAGGCGTAGATTCTTCCAGACTGCCCATTAGGACTTAAGTAATGAAAAAGCAATGAAAAAACCAAGAAACAACAAGAAAACCAAATGATCAAACATTGCTGTTTTACCTGGACTAAGGAAGCTATCCTTATTCCTCAACTGTCAGCTCTTCTTTTTTAAAGAGATTTTTTTATTTGTTTATGTTTGTTTCAGATTTATTATTTTATGTGTATGAGTGTTCTGTCTCCATGTGCATCTGTGCACCACAGGTATACCTGGTACCTGAGAAAGTGGGGTGCCTCCATGTGGGTGCTGGGAATCAAACCTGGGTCCTTTCCAAGAACCAGTGCTCTTAACCACTGAGCTAACTTCCCAGCCCCTGTGTCGGCCAACTCTTAACTGAATATATTCATTGTTAGAATCTAGTCTCCAAGAAGAAACTGACCACACCTTTGTTGGAGGAAAGGACCTATGGTCCTTCCTTTATCCAGTGAGAGCCCAACACAAAGAAAAGGGGACTACTACAGACCCCCTCAACGCTTGCTCCCACTTATATCTCTGCCCAGCTCAGACTAAATCCAAACAATCAAGCCGACAGGGCTTGTTCACCAACAGCTCCTTGAGTGGGAACTCTAGCCTCTCTGCTTGGACTGATTGGCCAGAAAGTAGTCATGAGGTCCTTGCACAAGGGTCCCCAGTCTGTACCCTTGATGGGACAACATTACTGAGTCCCTCAAGAACACATGAGGGGACTGGAAAGACCTAGGTATAGGAGGGACAAAGGAGTCAGTCCTTTGATCTCAAAATATCAGTAAGGCTTTTAATCCAACAAGGAGCAGATCTTCAAAATCTCAATTTTGAAGGCCCCAAATATCTTCCCACTAGACCATCCCAGGAGGGTACCAATGCAAAACAAGGGGACAGATGAGAACCGAAGGGTCCCTGTAGTGGTTTGAATGAGCAATGTGCTCTCTTAGTCTTAGATATTTGAACATGTAGTTCTCAGCTGGTGATGCTTTAGGGAAGCTTAGAGTGGTGTAGCCTTGCTGAAAGAAGAATGTCACTGGGAGCATTCTTTGATAAGTACAATGTTCACCTCCTTCGAGCATGCTGTCTCTGCTTTGTTTGTGGTTCAGGATGTGAGCTCTTGGCATCTTGTTCCAGCCTCTACATCTGCCCGTGCCCCCCCCCCCCACCAAGCCATTATGAACTCTAAACCTCTGAAACCATAAACCAAACAATTCTCCTTCTATAACTCGCCTTGGCCATGTAACTTTATTGCAGAAACAGAAAAGTGACTAATGTAATCCCCTTGGCCAGATAATACTTAAATTACATTTTGTGACCAACAGTTGGCCAGCCATTTTCAAAAAAAAAAAAAAATTACAAAAGATAGCAAATTGGAAATTAGAGGGTTAGAACAGCTACTCAGGGAAACCCAAAAGGTACATATAAGAAAGGAAGGATGAAGAAGCCAGAACATGGTGGCACATGCCTTTAATCCCAGCACTTGGGAGGCAGAGGCAAGATCTCTGGGAGCTCGAGGCCAGCCTGATCTGCAGAGCAAGCTCCAGAAAAGCCAGAGCTTTACACAGAGAAACCCTGTTTCAAAAAACCAAAAGAAAAAACAAAGAAAAGGAAGGTATGAAGGAGGAAAGGAAGGAAGAAAAAATCAAAAGGCTGAATTTATGCTCTCAACTGTAGGATAAGGGAAAGAATGAATTTCAGTTCCATTGGGATTTACCAACTCCCTCAGTCTATCTGGAAAAATTCTGGAACAACCTTTCTGGTTTGGTGTGATTACTAACGAATGAAGCAATGCACCCTTTTGCAGAAGTAAAAGCTGCTTTGTATATTCTTTGTTCTGGATGGGGTGGTCTCCTTGAACCCCAAATTTTATTTCTAACACATTGAAGCCTATGTATTTACCTATGTCTCTTTGGTGGTTCTGGGGCTCAGAAAACAGTATTCCAAAATTTGTGGCTTTGGGATTGAAGCTGAGAGTACTTGAAGAAGAATCAATACCAACAAGACTTTCTTTATCTAACTAAAGAGAACAAAATTAGAAAAGGACACACCCCCCCCATTCTTCTGATTGACTTTCATAACCAAAGAAGACTGAAGTCATTTCATAGGGAAGGGCATAGTATCAGACCTCTTATTCAGAGCACAGAGGAAGTTTTTCCAGTCCACTCATTGTTTGTTCCATTCATTCATTCATTCTCTCCCCTAAAAACCTAAAGACCTTGCCTCCTTTCCTCTATCCAATAAGTACACCTCACTCATATGCATATTCATCAGTCCATATATATATATATATATATATATATATATTTGAGACAGGGTCTCATGTGGCACAGGCTGGCCTCTACATATCCTAGGACAACCTTGAACTTCTGATTCTCCTGCCTCCATTTCCTTGAATGCTGGAATTATGCCAGGTTTTGTGTGGTGCTGGGGATTGAACCTGGAGCCTCATGCACACTAGGCAAGCACTTTACCATCTGAGCTATGTCCCCCAGCCACTCATACACTTTTTCTGTTGTTAATATGTCTGTTGGCAGTTTGTTTTAATGGCCCCAGTCACCTGGTCTTCAGGAGGAAGACTACTTCCTCACAATGGGCAAAGACCCTGCAGTTATACTTATTGAGCACCATGAGTCCAAGGGGTCAGGGTTCTTTTTTTTTTTTTTTTTAAAGATTTATTTATTCATTTATTTATTTATTATACAGTGTTCTACCAGCATGTATGC